TTTTTTAAAAGTTCAAAATTGCTGAATTTTCGCAGCTTCCCAGAGCTGAGCCTCACTTGAATTGCGCAATCCCTCGCTACCTGCTACCATGCAGTGACAGGTAGCTGTCTGGATGTCACCAATGCAATGGTTCAAACACATTTAATATATGACCTGATTTTCCATAGTTCAGCTGATGTATATAATAATGTACAGTGTTTTTTGTTTCCAGCTGTATGTGTGTAACGTGTTTCCTGTGCTGAGCATCATAAACTGCTGAGAAGAGGTTCTAGGTGAGGCAGGCAGTTCTCTGGCCTCATGGCAGGGGGCGCTCTGATCCCAGACGTTCTTGTGACTCCGCGGCTGCAGAGTAAGTGACAGCAATTTAGCAGCTTACAAAAAAGTAATGGATGTTTTTGTCCAGAAGGAGCGGCGCATGGACTTCATTTATAAGTAAGGGAGGATTGCAATAATGTTTTTTTTTTAAAAATGAAATGTGCGGCAGTAAGGCACCTGTATGCAGGGCGGTCAAGCAAAGTGTGCCTCGCCCTGAAACGGCTTTTACCATCTCTGTGGTTTTCCCTGGACATAAACCTGTCAGAGCCATCAAGGAGGAGTTCCACAGGACTGCAGGTGAATGATGTAGAGATCAGTAAAATTAATTGTAAATGATATTCTGTTAATGACATTGTGCTGCTACCTTAGACTTTAACGATGTTTTTATGTTTCGTCTTAGCTGCTGCCAAGTGCGCTTCTCCCCCGCCAGATTGCACCTAAATAAAATAAATTAATAGGCTGCCATTCAAGCAGTTTTCCTGTCATATTAATGTGATTAAAGGACGACATTTAAACTTACTTAAACATTGACTCAAGCAGCAATGTTCTCCACGCCGTCTCCTTCTGTGTTGCAGCTGCAGCGGTGTTGCACTTCTTTTTAAAAATGTGTTCCAACTCGCCGTATGAGCGCATGAAGATTTCCAGCTCTAGTGGGTGAAAAACACAGCCCTCTGCTTCCCCGTTGCCATGGTGACTCGTCGAATCGGGGCTCCATTGATGCTGGCTTTATATAGTTGTGGTGCACGCACTAAACTCCAGGTGAAACTACTCTTGATTAAACCATATACGCCTCGCGTCATGGTGTTTTAAGACTACACTGCGTGCATTCAAACTGTATAATGCACGGCTCCTCGTTGTTTAATCCTTACTTAGAACAAACCAAACCATTTGAAAATCGGCAGAAAACTGAGCAAGTTATGGTAATTTAAAAAGTACATGCACCACTACAACACAACGTACAGTGAACGAGAGTACCGAATCAAGATGGCCGCCAGT